GCCTGGCAGCATTCCATGCCTACCACGGCTTTTGCTGGGGGAGCAGAGTGTGCCTGTTCTGCACGGCTCCACTGGGCGCAGCCTCTGGAACCTGGGACTTGGTTAGAAGCCCTCTCTCTACCTCACCCCACAGATCTTTGCTTCGCCAATCTTGCTTCGCATCTTTTCACTGCTGTGAACGCAGAGCTGTGTTCATGACCGTATCATGAGCCCTGTTAGCCATTCCCCAAACCTGGTGTGGTCCTCCTGGAGACTTCCAACATGCCATTTGTGGAGAGCTGGGAGCATTAAGGGGTTCTATGTGAGAGGGACTCTCATTAGCACCTGACAGCCCCCTGGGAGGTCTCCGAGAGGGTCAGTCATGGGTACGGATGCTCTGCAGCACACAGAATGATGTTGTCTCCTCTGCTTGCTGCGTATGCTCCATTTAAGCATCATCCATGGTGTCTGTCTTCCCTTCGCAGGTCTACCTCCCTCTGGGAGCTTCTTGCATGGCAGTGGGATTTGTCTTATAGGGATCTTATATACAGCTGAGATCAAATCACCCAATGACAGAGAAGACTGCCCATTCTGACTGTGCAGTGTTTATTTTACAGATAAACTAAGGAGGCTCAGGCAGGGTAAACGACTTTCTGGGCTTGCCCTGACCCATCCCTGTGTCTCATTTGGGGAACCACAGCAGGGTTGGCCTAGAGATAGCAGGGTGGCCTCATCCCTGAGGTTACATGGGCGGTTTCTCAAATTCAGTATGACCACAAAATGGGCTCCAGGCTCCTGAACCAGGGCTAGGGATGAGCTGAGGCAGAGCAGAGGTCTGGCAGCCTTCTGTTTGGGTTTCCCCTTCATCCAGCAGGAGCCTGATGGGTTATTAATCAGACAGTCCCTGTGAAATCAATTAAATGCCTGATGCCACAGTCTGCCAAAGAAGTGGATCAGAGGTTGGGGGACCCTTCGATACATGGCTCCACAGAAGAACCACAGACGCTCCCATAGGGCATACTCCAGGTCTAGGGAGCGCAAGTGGGTCCAGGCTCCTCCCTGGAAAACTCAGTGAGCCGAGGGGATTGGCAGAGGTACAGGGGTATAAGAAGGGAGTGAGTCTCCAGAAGTCCCCTCTCGCCAGCCTTCTGGTAACCATCTTTCTCTGCCAGGAGGAAATATAATCTCTCTTGGTCACCTTACCAGCTGCTATGGGAAGCTGTCCCTTTTTAAGAGTCAGTTAAGCATATCTGGCCACCCCTCTGTCCCGTCTTCACTCGTTCTACCTGTGTGTTCATATTTCAAGCCCCCACTGTGCTGTGACAAGCACTGTGTCATGTGCTGGGGACCCTACAGTAACTGAATCACACACAGCATGTCTCCCAGCTTCCTCTGCCATGACCATTTGTGGCAAGAGGTTGTTTTCTTTGCTCTCTTAGCACACAGTAGGCATCTGGTGAGTATTACTGATAACGGGCACCGCTGTGAGTTAGTGGGGGCCCTAAGACAGTTGGTCTCCATGTAACTGCTAGAAAAGTCTGATATTGGAGGAGGGTGGGTTAGAGATGGCTGCCAAAGCTTTGATACTTCTCCCATTGGGAAGCGGGGTTCAGTCCCTCTCTTCTTGAAGCTGGCTAAGCAGAGTTGACACTAGGCCAGGTCTAGGCTAAGCATCTCGGAGGATCAATGGCTTCTGTCTCCATACCTTGGGACTCCGATGCACACAGAATGAAGTACAACTGTCCCATTCAGAGGATCATAAGCAGAGGTCCCGAGGCACCTTAGGGATGAAGGAGTGCCACAGACAAGGGGAAGGCATGTAATGCGTGCTAAAGACGAGTTACGCTATTAACACCACGTGCAGCAGGAGAGCTGTGTATCTGAGACCTTCCCTACCTCCTGACTTTCCTGTGAAGGACAAACTGCACGCTGCCTTTGTCACCAAGTTGGGAGGCATTTGTCATGTAGCAGTGGCAGCTGGAACCAAAAATCACGATTGTTTTCAGGGGTGCAAATGCACAAGGTGTAGGTCCACTAGTGAGCGGTAGGGTGGTAGTTTGGGGGGGATGTATCTGACCCCGAGGACTGTGCCTTGACACACTCTTGATGGTGAATGGCCTGTCACATTCTCAGGACACCAGGCCACACTCTTACAAAGCAGTGAGGGCAGACCCTGTCCTCTTCCTTCCTCGGCTGTGTGGGGACTCATGGCTATTTTCTCTTTCTTTCTTTCTTCCTTCCTTCCTTCCTTCCTTCCTTCCTTCCTTCCTTCCTTCCTTCCTTCCTTCCCTTCCTTCCTTCCTTCCTTCTTATTTATTATGTATACAATATTCTGTCTGTGTGTATGTCTGCAGGCCAGAAGAGGGCACCAGACCTCATTACAGATGGTTGTGAGCCACCATGTGGTTGCCGGGAATTGAACTCAGGACCTTTGGAAGAGCAGGCAATGCTCTTAACCACTGAGCCATCTCTCCAGCCCCCATCGTGGCTATTTTCTCCATGACTTATTCCTTCACAGAGTTGACATAGGGGAGCAGAGCTTCATGAACACACAAGAAATATCTCTGACAGTGTGGCTGCTCGATGCCGGGCACTGTATGTGTGTCTCTTACGTTTGCTTCTTTCCCACCTCTTGGGAAAGGATAATTTTTATCCTAATCTGTCAAGGAAGAAGCCAAGGTGTGGGGATGTTGAATAACTCGCTCAGCCACCTGATGTGTTTAACGAACAGGTCTTGTGTGGCTGAAGATAGCTATGGATCACCCGGTGAGGTCAACATTGACAGGCGGAATTTCTGATGATGTCGTCGAGCGGGGTTGGTGCTGCTCTTAGTTTGGGGGCTGTCTGTGGATGCACAGAGCTCTGGGGTCACAGAGGAAGCCTCTTCAGCTGTTCAGGAGTAAATAGGACTCAGCTAGACCAAGACGTGAAGAAGAGGTCAACCACAGTGGTGGCGTGCAAGACCTGTGCAGAAGTCTGAAAGAGCACAGACTAGGAGAAGGCTACATGCATGTCCTCAATATTAAATACATGCACTCTAACTATATATAATGATGGTGTGCTGCATGTATGTTGATGGATTATGAGAGGGTGTGCATGCCCGTGTTTGCCTTTTGGCAGATGGAGGTGATATTTTTCTTCTTGCTTATCTTATTTGCTAGCTCTCTATGATGGATATTAATTATCTGAATGATAATGACAGATGAAAGCCCAATTTCATTCATTCTAAGCAATGGAGACAGGAGGACAGAGGATCAGCAAGGCAGGCATGTTCTAGCCGACAGGCAGGGGAGGGGAGGTGGGACAGTCTTTACAACACATATTGACCACCTGGGAAACCTCTCTCGGTGGCCCTTTCCTGCCTCTCTTCCCCTTGAGAAACTTACAGACTCACGGGAAAAGGTCTTGCTTTGCTCCCCAAATGAACATCCAAGCAGAGAATGGCCTCCATGATCCATGCAGATGACCAGAGCCACTGATTGGCTGCCGGTTTCCATGGGCCATGTCCTACTCAATAAGTACTGAAGATAACGGTGACTGGCTACCCGGGGAGGGATGACAGCAATTAGTCTACCCTGTGATTGATGTGAGCGAGAGAGACAGTCCAAAGGATGTGGATGGACACACACGGTAATAACAAAGACACCGGCCAGGGTGGGTCCTGGTAGGCTCACATCTCTGACGAACTCGGGTTTGGAAAAATGGTTCCACAAGTACAAAATGTGACCAAAGGGTTATGATTTTTCTCTTGCAGATCTGACGTGCTCAATGTGCCGATGCCGTCATCATGATTGTCGGGGGTCAGGCAGAGGCGGGTGGGTGTACCTTTTGTGAGTAGGCAAATTTCCCCTTCCTCAGACGTGGTTCGGCTTTGTGCTCCTCACAAAGAATAGGAGTTTGGAAATGGAAAACCTATGTGTGCCATTTCTCTGAGAGAGAGGGTGGAGGAGGAGATGTGCTGGACCAGCCTGGAATGTGTTATCTATGGTGTAGAGAGCAGAGAGAGAGGCGTGCCAAACTCTCTGCTCGGGTGTGAGAGTGACAGATGACCTAATTCTCTTTTTATCTTCCTATGATTTCTTAAGTGGTTGCATGGTTTTTATAAACACACACACACACACACACACACACACACACACACACACACACACACCCCGTTTGGAAAACAGTGGCTAAGCATGGGGGAGGAAGATGGTGGCAGGCCTGAGCTGAAGGAAACACCCCATGGCAAATCCCGTAGGAAGGGAATGAGCCGCAGGATAACAGCACTGGACGGAAGGTCTGGCGCCCCTGGGTTCGAGTCCTAGTCATGCATTGTGCCAGCCTCCTGTGTCTCCTGTGTGACCTGAGCTGGCCACAGAGCCACTGCTTCTCACCTTCCTGAACTCCTGAATGAGGACATCATGTGATGTATGCAGAATACATGGAATCACCACATGCAAGCCTGTGCTGGTAACGCTCATGGAAAACCTTTGGGGACTATCTGGGTACAGGAGGGCCAACAGACTAGGAAGCAAAAAGGGAAGGGGAGACTGACCTTCATAGAGTCCTTTCATAGTCCAGACAGGTCGGAAGCTAGCCATAGAGCAGTGAAATCACATACAACTGGCTGAGCTAAGGACCCAGTCAGAATGGAACCCAGTGTCTGCCTTGTCCTCTACTTGGGCCTACCTCCTTTGCATGTTTCTTGCCTACTTTCACAAAAGCCTTACCTAACTCACTGCATTGCCATTGCTTGCCAAGGCAAGCAACGTCCATGAGTTTATCAACTTGACCAATGTCATACCTTTAGGAAGCAGCAGGCTAGCCCTGGACCTCGGCTCTGGTGGATTCTAGAACCCCAGCCTTCCCCAGCTCTCTCCTACCACTGGAGAGTCCCAGCCTAAGACAAGGCATTTCATATCAGCTTCTCCAAGTGACAGGAGGTAGAGACACAGTCCCTACTGACCTGGCCACCAACAGACCCTAGACCCTGGTTGGTCTGCCCTCTGCCCACCCAGCCTTGGTCCACTGGGACCCACCTGGTCTCCAGTGGGATGTTACTGTTGAGCAGCCAGTTGTCCTGGGCGTGGGTTGGCTCCTGGGCGCTGCCTGCCGGGGGCTCCCCGGAGAGTGAGTGGTCTGTGGGTGCCGGGCTGGGGTTGCTCCTGGGGGTGAAGTTGCCCCTGTTCAAGGAGTTGATGGAGGCCGCATGGTGCTGGTTGGGGGTATGGGCGTGGGGGAGTGGTGGCGGTGGTGTCCGCAGCCGAGGGTGGTTCTGCAGGCCGCTGGGGTGATCTGGGGGAACAAGCAGTCATGGTCAATGGGCTGCTGGCTGGGCACCACCCCTGGCAGGAGGAACAGCCACAGAGGACTGGACAAGACTGCATGGGGTGAGAATGAGTGTGTCAGGCACTAGCAAATTACACGTTAATTCATTCAGTCAAATTTGTAGTCCACGGGTACTTCTGAGTTCCTTCCGTTCTACATGTATATTGGGGCAAAAAACCAAATAAAAATGCCCACCCCACGCACTGAACTTAAACTTTAGGAGAGTACTAAGAAACAAGATCTCGAGAGCAAGAGAGCAAGCGAGCAGGCGGAGCATGTGAGGCTCCAGCTGCCCGTGCCGATGATTTGACTTATATCCACAACTTCACCTTTTGCCTCGCAGACTTTTAGCGTCTTTAGAATATAGTCTTATACTGTGGCCTCTGCACCTGGGAGTGAGTGTGTCTGAGATGGTAGTTCTGCCGCCCTGACCCAGACTTATTGATCCAAGAACCCTGGGCTAGGGGCCCAGGAATCTGACTTTACAGAGCTTCCCAGTGACTGACCCACGCTTCAGTCTGAGAATCACCGACCCTGGGAATGGCGCACGGTAAATGAAGGTAAATGCATGCAATGTTACACACCTCAGCCTTCCTCCAGTGTAACACACACAGCCTCAGCCCATGCTCTTCCTAGAGGTGTCTGAGACAACTGCGTCTACATGCTCTGTAAGCTGGAGAAATGTCACTGCTGTGGGGGCCTATGACCTGAGTGGGTTGCACTTGGCGGGGGGCAGAGGGGACGTCCTTCAGTCTGCAGTCCTGCCTCAAGCATTCTCCTGGCCTCACAGTGAGCCAAACCTCTTGGAATTCAGCTCAAGGACAAGGGAATCTCAGGCGTGCTGTCTTCAAGGGTCAGGGAAGGGCAGAGGATGGTCTAGAGCTCAGAGTGGAGCTAGTGGTAAAGTAGCTGTCGGCCCTCCCAGTGCCGCCGCAGCGCATGTCCCAAGGATGGGCTCCCCAGTGCGTGTTCAAGGATGGGCTAGCTTTCCTAACTGTGTTCTGCCAGGGCAGCCGCTCGGACTCCGAGAAGCACCCCTTCCTCACTTCCGGCCCCCTCATAGGAGTCTCTGTATCAGGCAGTGGAGCTTTGGTGTGTGCTGCCCCACTGTTCCGACCTGAACAACACCAAGCATTGCCACAGTCTGGGGTTTTGCTCTGCCTCACGTCAATGAGAAAGTAAAGCAGCCATTCTGCAACCTCCAGTCTGTGTTACTCCCTGCAAGGGAAGCTCTGCAGGGGCTGCCCCACCTCCAGGGCCTGTCCCCCTCTCTAAGTCCATCTAGTGCGTCCGACCAGCTATGACTGAGAATTCCCGTCCGCTGGCCATTGGAGCACATCTGCCCTGCTATACGCCAAAGCAGCTTCTTTATTAACCAATGGTAATAAAACATATTCATAGCACACAGAGGGGAGTCCCACAACCAAACGTAAGGGTCCTTAGGAAACCACAGCGTGACTTCTGTCTTCTAAGCCAACAGGACTTGGCATCTAACACAGGTTATTGGAGTCCATGGCCAAAGGTAGTAGAAGTGCCCTTGGAGAGGAGTGTGGTGTCTGGGCTGAACTTGCTGGCCTAAAGCAAGACGTTTGCTCTGTGTCTGAGCAGGGACACCTGCCTCAGTAACTGTTTAGAAGCTCTGGATCAGTGTAAAATTCTGCGACAGTTCTAATCCATACTCTCTTCCTATAGATCCAGCAGTCACCCATATTGGTCCATCTGGCCACATATGAGCTACTTTGATTTACAAACACCAGCTTCAGTGTTCTCCAGTATTATCTTTCATTTAACAGGTGTGGAAATCCTGACTGTCCCCAGCCCGGGATCAAATGGCGGTGCCCTGTGCGTGCTGAGTAGAAAGGGACTGGGCCTTGCTGGCCCACAGCTCTGAGTTCAAGTTCTGCCTCTTCCACTTACAAGCTGTGACTGTGGGACTGGCAAGATGTTTCCTGACTTTTCATGCATGTTTTGATGCATGTGCATGCATGTGTGTGTGTGTGTGCGCGCATGCGCGCGCACACACACACACACACCATGGCACAAGCATGTGTGCACACATACATGCATATACACACTGTGGCATAAATGTACACACACATGTATAGACACGCACATATATGTGTGCTCATACACATGTACACCATAAATAAATGTAAAAATTTTAATGTATAATTTAAAAAAAACCCTATGATGTCTAACAAGTTGCTGAACTTCTCAAGTCATAGTTTCCTGGAGAATTCTTTCTAGAGACAAGGGCCACCGAATATGGTTGTTTTGAGATTTGAAAAAGATGCTTTATGTCAGTGCTCAGCACGGTGCCTGGCATACGGCATTTTAGCTACATGGTAACTATTTACTTTCCAGTGCTGCAGGCTAAACCCCGGGCCCCACGTGTGCTAGACAAATGTTCTGCTATAGATCTACATTCCAGTCTTGCAAACAGTAGCTGCTGGTCCACAACAGTGATAAAGGAACATGAATGACTCACCAATCCCTAAAGCATTAGATGTCACCATGGGGCTGAGTGTTCAGCATTTACAACAGAAGTTCTAAAGCAAAAGGAGTGAGGGGGGAGGACAGGAAATGCCCAGCAGAAGGGCAGTGTCCTTCTGTTATACCTGATGGATCCGGCTGGTCCACTAGCTCCTGGGAGCCATAAAAGTGCCTGGAGCTTGGGGCTGGAGAGATGGCTCAGAGGTTAAGAGCACTGCCTGCTCTTCCAAAGGTCCTGAGTTCAATTCCCAGCAACCACATGATGGCTCACAACCATCTGTAATGAGGTCTGGTGCCCTCTTCTGGCCTGCAGGCATACACACAGACAGAATATTGTGTACATAATAAATAGATAAATAAAAAAAAAAAAATTTAAAAAAAAAAAAAAGTGCCTGGAGCTCAACACAGATCAGGAAGTAACCGGAATGGATGGCCCTGCCCCTCGAGTGAGCTACCTAGGGCTTCAGGTTTTCAAAGAGAAAGGCTGTTGGATGCATTTGACAAGTTTCTCAGGGCAAACACCAAATCTGTCTGTCCTGGGCTCACCGTGGACCCTGGAGGTCCCTATGGTTGGTTCAGGGGCTGATGGGTTCTCAGATGAAGATGTGCACCCCATCCCCAACAAGCGTCAGTTTCAGGGGTGGCTGGTTAAGAAGAGTACAGAGCAGGGCCCAGGGGTCTGGCAGAGGAGCTGCAGCTTCAGCCCTGTGTCTGACAGGTGATGTGACATTAGGGCAAGTCACTTTCCCAGCCTCTAGATACTTACTTACTTAGCAAATGTACACGTGTCAAAGGTGCCAATAAAAAGTGGAGAGATGGTGGTCTTTTATAAGTTCAAAATAAAGATTCACAAACATGATCAACTTGGAAATGCTTAATCTCGTTAGACAGCACCCACTGAGAGAAATGTGCATGGCCTCATCATACAAATAAGTATTGAGGACTTACTGAGTAACAGATGCTACAGGCTTTACTTAGGAAACCCTGCAACAGCTCCAAAAAGAAGAGGCTATTGTTATTCTTCACAGAAAGATCAAGTAACTTGCCCACATTAACGCGACGGAGGGAGCCAGAATTTGAACTTCAGCAGATTGGCTCCAAGTCTGTCGTGTGAAATCCTTCACTCACGCTCATCAAGTGAGCCAGGACAGGCCAAGCGCACCCAACAATGTCTGCCATACAGGGTGTACCTTCCAAGTGTCATGACCGTCATCATCCTTGTCACCTTGGACTCCAGCCCCTCCGGAGCGCCCTGGAGGCACGGAGGTGGAGGCTTGACTTGAGCTCCTGGGCTCTAGGAAGACTGCACGACAGGTGAAGTACGGCCTGTGTCTGGGGGGCACTCTAGGCAGAAGATGATGAGTATGCATGGTGCTAGATGCCAGCGTGGCTGCTGGGGGCACACTCAGTCAACAGTGTGAGAGGCAGTGGTTGTGGGTGAGGTAGGGACAATGAGACAGATCGAGGTGGTGGGTGCCTGGAGAGAAGAGGCTAGAAAACCTGGTCATCGTTGGAAGAGTAGGAGCTGGTGCTGGGGCCACTTTAGCACTGAGACTGGCAGAAGATGAGGCAGGGGTGGGAGGTAGAGGACCAAGCATGCTCCAGATCAATGGCAGGTGCCTTCTTACGAAATGAGTTGCAATTGAGCAGGCCACGCTCATGAGAAAATAAGCATAAACTTTCATAGCTTTGGCTCAGCCACGGGACTCAAGTGCTAAAATCTAAGAACATCAGATGGCTCCAAGAAAGGGTTCCAGGCCAGGTGCCCTCATACACCAACTCTGCCAAACCGCAGACAGGTGCCCAAGGCTCTCTTTGCATCTGAGTTAATGATGACCCCAGCGTGCACCGCAGTCATCAATCGGGCCCTGAAGACTGTCAGATGTGAAAGACGATGGTATTTAATTATCATAAAACACAAAAACTCCAGTTGCCTGAGCATGTCAACAGAAAGAATTATTTGGCTTCCATTAAAATGCCATTGACCACCACCGGCTCGGGGTGGTGGTGATGTAGAGGCGCTGAGACCTCAGCTAATGAACCTTGGCCTGCAGGACCAATTTAGAGAAGCCAGGGAGCTCTTTGTCAGCGCATCCCACAGCGGCATCTGACGGTTCCACTGCTAATCTCAGTTTGGCCTCCTTTAAGCTGTGCAGCCACAGACGGTTTATTTAACTTGCGCTCTACCTTCTGTCACTTGGCTAAGGTACTTGGCGGTAACTGGCAAACTGTAAGGTCCCAAGCAAGGGGCCGAGAGAATTGTCATTAGTATTATATGTCAACCTAGAATGAACCCCGATCTAAAAGTGAGCCCTGGTGTGAGTGGGAGGTGAGGGGTAGATCTCTGGGGCGTGGTTTCCCTTCATTCACTTTCTCCCCGTGTGAAATGCTTGCTGCTCACTTTCACGGATGTCGCTCCAATGGCCAGCAGACGGGAATTCTCAGTCGTAGCTGGTCTGACGCACTAGATGGACTTAGAGAGAGGGACAGGCCCTGGAGGTGGGGCAGCCCCTGCAGAGCTTTCCTTGCAGGGAGTAACACAGACTGGAGGTTGCAGGACGGCTGCTTTACTTTCTCATTGACGTGAGGCAGAGCAAAACCCCAGACTGTGGCAATGCTCGGCGTCATTCAGGTCGGAACAGTGGGGCAGCACACACCAAAGCTCCACTGCCTGATACAGAGACTCCTACAAGGGGGCCGGAAGTGAGGAAGGGGTGCTTCTCGGAGTCCGAGCGGCTGCCCTGGCAGAACACAGTTAGGAAAGCTAGCCCATCCTTGAACACGCACTGGGGAGCCCATCCTTGGGACATGCGCTGCGGCGGCACTGGGAGGGCCGACAGCTACTTTACCACTAGCTCCACTCTGAGCTCTAGACCATCCTCTGCCCTTCCCTGACCCTTGAAGACAGCACGCCTGAGATTCCCTTGTCCTTGAGCTGAATTCCAAGAGGTTTGGCTCACTGTGAGGCCAGGAGAATGCTTGAGGCAGGACTGCAGACTGAAGGACGTCCCCTCTGCCCCCCGCCAAGTGCAACCCACTCAGGTCATAGGCCCCCACAGCAGTGACATTTCTCCAGCTTGCAGAGCATGTAGACGCAGTTGTCTCAGACACCTCTAGGAAGAGCATGGGCTGAGGCTGTGTGTTGCACTGAAGGAAGGCTGAGGTGTGTAACTGGGAGGGAGAAGGTATCCAGGCAGACGACTGTTGTGAGCAAAGGCTGGGGATGAAGCAGACCCAGGATGGTGTGGGGACCTGGCTGCCTGAAGCAGAGGTCACAGGAAGACAAGTCCGGAGCCTGGTGGTGGCTTTGAGGGTATTCAGGGGGCTCACTCTGACTTCCGGATTTTCAAAGTCAATAGTAATCATATAATAAGGAGATGGAACCCTCAGGCCATTAAATCTACCTGCAGTTTCTGTCAAGCAATGGATGCCCTGCTGGATCAGGACC